GTCTGTGTAGAGGCGGCTAAAAAGCGGCACCAGCCTCTGCTAGCTTCCACGAGCTTCTAATCAGCCTACATCTGTCTGTTGTGCATCCATCCAACGAATAAGGGGGGAGTGGAAGCAAGAGCAAGAGGGAGAGAATGGGTGCACAAGCGCTCGCGCACGCGGCCGTACGCACCCCTTTGTACGCGCACACCTGACGACGGGCCGAGGGTGTGCGGGTGGTTGGTTTCTAGCAGAGAGGGGTAGTAAGAGTGGGAGAGAGAGAGAGAGAGAAGCGCAGGCAGGCGAGACCGAGAGAGGGAACAGGGGAATCGAGATATCGATTCCACGCGCGATACCGCCGGGTGTTTCCGGGCCTGGTCGCTCGCTTCGAGCACCTTCGACAACTTCGACAACGCTAATTACAGGATGACGAACTAACCGTGGTCACACCGGACTTCCGTTCTCTACTTCGTGAAAATCGAGCTAGCTATCATCGAAGGGGAAAAGGGAAAGAGGAGAGGATGGTTGGATTTTTCCTCTCTTCGTTCTTTCAACGATCATGACAGTCGTTTTTCTACCATCCCCCTGCCACCCCGCCCACTGAAGTTGCTCGTTTATCATCGTTCGGGATAATAGTTTCCAGATCCCGCGAATGACCTATCGATAGAAACCGGTTACACAAGCCGCGTGTATCGGTAAGCACGCGAGCGTGCCTGCAGCTTTGTGAATGGCTGAAAGGAAATCCGGTTGATTAGTTTTGGATAGAAACGATCCCAACTGGTGGAAAGTTCCTTTAATTTCGCGTGGCCCGTTATTTAGAGCGGTTTGCATGTTGTTGACGGTAAAAAGGGATACACAGACGGAGTGTAAGGTGTAGAGAGAGAGAGAGAGAGAGGGAGAGAAATGGAAAGGTAAAATGCTTGCCAATAGAGGATACGTGTACACGAAGGACAAAGAACGTTTTTTTCAATTATGTATTGAAAATAAGTCGTGATTAATCGGATTAATTTTTGCTGTTTCTCTTTTGTTGCTTTTCTTCCTTTTACCTTTTCTGTTTCTGCGTTCCGTGAAAATAATTGTCCTCGTCTCTGACTTTCAATATCTCCTTCCAAGCTTCAGATTGATAAAGAATTAAACGCGCTGAAGAATAATTTGTCTTTACGAGATTGGATATCTGCAAAATGTGATTGACATCGATAATCGTCAGTGTTCCTCGTTTAGCAGTGAGACAAGTGCGATGTACTTCAATGGTCTTTTGAATTATCATATCTCGACATCATTACATCTTCTAATTGGTTCTCTAAAAGTAAAAGGTGTCTCACACTTTCGATGAATTGGCGTTTTGATCGAGAAAATTGTTCCAATGATACAAAATGGATCGTACATAATTCAATAAAATAATATAAAACAAAGAATATTGTGTATCTATTATTTTCTTATGAAACGAAAGAAACGTCTACTGGTATTTAACATAAATTGAATACTTTCTCCACATTTTCTTTTCTGTTTTACCATTTATTTTACCGCAAATCTATTAGTAGATTAGATTCGTATCATACGTATCCCATGAACGAAGCGCAAAATAGATTAAAATTCATTGAATTCAGCCAACGGATCTAAAGCGAGCAGGTGTCCTAACCATCGTCGTAACTTGTCTCGCAAAATAACAACGAAACCTATATTTCTATAAAACAATCTCCGTGCCCTTAATCCAGCTCTATCTTCCCCATCTCCACAAATCAAAACCTTGTCCACTTCGCCAAGCCCTCTAAAGCACATCGCAAACTATGACCATCGATATCGAGATAAATCATTACGCCGACAGAGACCCTTAAGCCCATGGCCATGGTACGGCGCGACGTAAGCCGGAAAAATCGAGGCCACTCGCTAGACAAAAGCCAACAGAGGCGCGTGAGCCCCCTAACAATTGGCAAATCCAGCAGGGTACCTTGAGGCAAGTCCGCACGAAACGCAGCAGAATCCAACTCACAGGATAACAGCCAGCCCCCTGTGTCGTAGCGGTCGACGTGACACATTCCCATCGCGTGATAGTGCAACCTCCAGTCGAGCAAACTTAAACCCAACCCCCTTTTCCGCCTCTTCCTTACGATACGAGGAATTAGGGGACAGTGACTTGCTGCGAAGACGACAGCAGATACGTCTCTGTTGCGATGCTAGGCAGTGGACACGGTCACGCTTTGGCCGTTGTCGCCCGGCTTGAGAAAGACTACGTGGCTTCCTGACAGATGGAACAGAGAAAACTCGCGTCCTTGGTTCTTACGTGGTCGTGAAAAGTGGACGCTTGATGAAGCAAGGATGTGAGGCGGTATGGGAACGCTTGGTCCAAAGGGAATTTTGAAGGGGGCAGGGATGAATTACGTAGGTTGGTTTTGACGAATGGCGAGGTACAATTGTGGAGTTGAAATCGTGGAGGATAAATCGCGTAAGTGTTAAAAGAATAAAAAATGATTTCGTTAGAGGTAGGGAGGGTGAATAGGGTAAGTTTTGATGAGTGGCGGAGAGGAATAAAGAAGTTGAAATGGCGGTGTTAGTGGAGAAAAAGTAAGAAACGACTTTCTTAGTGGAAACGAATGGGGTAGGTTTTAACGAATTACGAAGCACAGTTAAGCAGTTTGAATTGGTAAATAACACACGTTAAAACAATGAAAAATGCTCTTTTGGCAAGGTGGAATGTAAAACGAATCTCTGTTGCATGGATTATTTGCTGGAATTCATCAAAAACGAAAATGATAATTGGTTTGCCTCGAGCACTGGAAATTTCCAATTTCCATATTTCTCGTGATAATGCAATCATAAACCTGATTTCGATCAATTCTAGTAGATTTAACAATAATTTCTTTCGGTATTTTAATAGCTTTAATAATAATTTCTATCGCGTAATGGATTTTGAGCAGCTTGCTTCTCGCGATAATCCCATTACGTATAAATCTGGTTTTGGTCAATTTTAATAGTTTCGATAATTTCTTCCTGCCTTCAAATTTTTTTTTTTTTTTTTTGTCATATGCCGGATTTTGAAGGTTAAGAGATTCGCGTATTTTGTCGCATTTAATTGCAAAATTAGCCGAGCAATAATTTCTCTAGAGTGAATAAAATTATTTTCTCCGTTTCGCTTAAACATTTTTACCGTGTGGGTGAAATATACGGACGAGAACAACGGACCCGCGAAATATATGCAAACGAGGATAGTAAAATGTGTTTCGTCATGCGGCCGCTGAAAAAAATTCCGCAAATATTGCATACCACTCTGTTCAGAAACACGATTACAGCCATAACGAATTCGTTATTTTCGCTTCAAAAGCGCGAACGCAATCAGGATTTGTATTCCGCGATTCATTAAAGAGAAAATCGATTTTCTACCCTCTAAAAAACTCGTCTCATGATACACGTGCCCATTCAATATGAATTATACTAACCCCTCCTCTTTTTTTTCTTTTTCTTTTTTTTAGTTTATTTAACAACTTACTGTTTGTGGGAGATCCATTGACAAACATTTCGCTGAAATTGCACTTTTATTTACGAGATTCAACGAGAAACGACTCATAATCCGCGCTTAAACTCGTATCGTATAAAAAGTAGGTAATAAAGTGGTGCGATAAATTTCATAAGCCACAGTCTCTATGTACATCGTATTACGATAGACGTGTCAGCTCTTCTTTTTTTCTCATGCATTTTAAAACTTAACATTTCGCGTGATTTAACATTTATTTATCGCCGCTACACGCTTATTCGAAGTGATACGTGCCCGCTTAATTTTTCAAACGGGAACGAACGAAATTTACCGAACACGCGAATGTACGTTTCGTTTAATCATTTTCGTTGGTAGAAAAGTTTATTTTGTTAAAAGCGAACCGCGTTCCTCATTTAAAATATATACGTAACATCGGTCAGTCTGTGAGTTTAATTGCAAAAGTCGTGAACAATGTAATATTCTGAACGAAATACAATGGTGAAACAGGTACTTGCACGTTAATGAGAGTTTCGGAAATTCCAAAATGTTAAAAGGGCGAAGGCTTGCGCGATTCTGCTGTATAAAACGGTAACTACTCTGCGAAAATGTACAGATAGGTACAGGACTGGTTTAACACCTCGGGACACTCGAACGAGTATCAAAAATTACATTGCGGCTTTTGATGTATCATATTTATTACGTTTGGGATCACGATACGTTCGTATTTAAGGGATGAAACGAACAAATTATCTATTAGTATAATCAGGACTAAAAGATGATACTTTAACGACCTCAAAAGCGAAACGATAATGCCCATTTTGGTCATTAAACACAAACATAGCTTGGAAACAAAGCTAACCCAAAATTGGAATAATAATATTGACTTGTGCGATGAATTGCAATGTTCAGAAATATTCTATGGGTTTATTAATAAAATTCAGCGTAGTTAATATGTGCACTTATACATATAAGCTTTTAGTAAAAGTGTCGACAAAAATGTTTCTTATTCTTGACAAGTGCATTCACTAGTGTTAAGTATAAATTAGTATAATCAGCAATTAGTATGTACATACATTGACTGATAAGTATATTTAATTAATTACCTCAATGAATTAATGAATTAAATCAATAAACAAAGATTCAATGAATTAATTGAATAAGTACAATCTATTAATATAAAATATGCGATATATGTATAATAAATTAATATGAATAATGTCCAATAATCTACATCTAGTAATATTAGATTGTACAATAAGTTCGTTCAAAGATTGTTGCTTTTATATAAAATCTATTTATAGTTAACGAGACTTGTATTGTTTTGTATTATTTTCTAGCATACTTTGCAAACGAATTAAGCAATTATCGCTTCAAAACTTCCGTCTTTTTATTTAAATATTCCAATATTAGTATTTCTACAATCTTTAAATTACTTAATTACTATTGGTAAAATAATTCCAGATATCGAAACAATTAATATTAATCATAACGTGTCTGCAGTAGAAACACCCTTCCACGTTTCACAATATTCACATCCAAAGTTACCATCTTCGTCACCCTTTTTCCTACCATTTCTTCCTCGCAAGAAATATCTCTCACGCACACCCATCTAATAAACTATACGAACGCCATTCCAGTTTCAAGGGACAAAAAGCGTTACAAGTCGACACACGAAAGAGCATAAACGGAACATCAGCTACGTATCCCTTTTATTAAGCGATACAGACGGAAAAATAATTAATTAAATCAATTAGAAACCAGGGTGAGTAAACGTAATGATCGAACGTATACGTGGAACAGGCCCTTACCATCTTGTTAATTTAACCAGGAAACATTCATCGACCGTCGTCCGAGGTATGCCATCGTCGAATTTAATTACAGAATCAGAGGCTCAAGGTATACGATCGCTCGTAATTATGCGCATCCATGATTAACAGGTTATCGAGCTTTGACGTAGAATATTTATTTGTGTCATCGAGAGCGCCAACCAGACGCCGCGAGATCGTGTTCGTGAATCGCGACAAAAATCAAGCTTCCCTTGGTCGTAAGGCGATCCCTAACAATCCGCCCACGTGTTACAATCCGCAGTTAACGAACCACGAAGTCGAACGATTAGAAGAGACCAGGGAAAGTACCTATTCCCGTAATTGTTCAGTGAAATTTTTCGACGGAAGTCTGGAGTTCGATAATAAGCGATTGGCGAGACAGGATTATTTGTGGGGACTGGAGAGTTATACTGATGCGGATTGTTAAAGTTTAGGTGTCGACGATGATGGAAAGGTACTATTAATGTCGAGATTAGTCTCATTATTAACGATGTAACGGTAGTTTAATTATTGAGAAATTATAAAATAGAGCAACATATCAATGATTAATGCAAGTCGCGTTCAAGCTTTCGTTTCTTGGCTATAAAATATTTTCTGATATCTAACGATATGTAATTATCAAATTGCGGATATACATGCGAGTTTACATTTTCAAAATAATTAGAAATTATTAGAAAAAGATAGGAAATAATTAAAAGAGTATGCGCTTTTAATATTTAGTTTAGACAAAACCATTTATTGCAGGGAAAAGAAAATTTAGGAAACTGCTATAACAGAATCATATGTTATGATCTAACGATTGGAATAGAGTAGAAAACACTATACTATTTTATGAATGTTTATCAATAATTACCAGATGTTTACCAGTTTTACCAATGAGAACACTATAATATAAAATTTAATTGCAAATTCCCTTCCCATATATTTATTAATAATGCTAGAAGATGATACCAATAAATATTAATTAATTGTTTCTTAAATTTTGTCTATGCTATCTATCTAAATGAATGGAACATTGAGTTGTCTGTACAACTTTAGAGATGGCATATACACATGGTTTTCTAAAGATACATTTTTCCTTTTCGTGAATTTCGCCTGCAGTAATGCATAAATTTCCTCTTCCTCCTGAAAACAACTAGTTTCTTGCCACTTGAAGCGTTCTCTATAAGCGCTCTTCGAATAACAATTAACATATAATAAATACAATTGATAAACAGCACCTTGTTCACTACGGAATGATCTGCTTGCAATTGTTATCTTGAATACGCGGAGTCCCTTTTACGGCCAAGTTTCGATTAATGGTAAAACCAAGGGGGCGAGGCTTCAGCGAAAAGGATGAATGCCACGAACGTAATTGTGCAATTGTCGATCGCGACTTTTCCCCAAGAGCATAATCGATCTACTTGAAAGGCAATTGAGTGTTCCTGCGATTGCTCTCAAGCCCCATGAATGCAGCCCTCCGCTTTCGTCCGGAATCGAATGCAACGCGATAGCGTTCCGTGCTTCTGCACAAGCGTAATGCCGCGCCAACGAGAAGAAAACAAGCGCGTGCACGCGGCCGGTCGAACGTGGAAGATTAGTTTGTGCCAGGAAAAATATGATACGATTAGTAGCCACGTGCACCCTCACTGCGAATTACTGCGAATTATGATCTCGATAGCGTAATACCAACTATACAAACTCACGAAAGTAGTCGAACACTTCTAGACATATAATAATTATGATGTACTATAATGTGTTGTATGAAACTCATTTTGAAATTTCATGAAGACCGTTATGAGGCTCGGCTATCATCGTTATATCGGTAAAGTCTGAAACAAGTTTGAATATATACACTGTATTTTCTAGCTACTTTGTTACAAATAGTTACAATCTTCAAATATTTCTATTCTAATAACTGGAAGTCTGATTAATCAAAGAAAATATTCATTGCGATAGAAATAACAAGTATCCTTCGCTGAAATTTATATCTTTGCTATTCTTTGCTTTATTTCTGCCATTGAATCTCATTTGATAAACACTTCGATACGGTCACACGAAAAATATAAAAACACCGGAACGCCAGATAGTAATTTCATCAGCCACGGAAAACGTATTCGTCGAGAAGATTACTTAAAATGGAATGGACGGTAAAAGTTTGGCTTTGGACCAGCGCGAAACGCGGAAAAAAATTTCTGAACGCGGCAAGGAACTATTGATTTACCGGAGCTCCGTATTTTATTTTATTCCAGAGGTTCAGCGCTTTCAGCACGCGATTTTCCTGCGTTCGTTCGTTGTCCACGCTGTAGGACAGATGTCATTCGCGACTCGCGATAGCGTTTTAAAAAACACGCATTTTAAAGGCTTACAATACGGCCAGGGTGGATGGCTAGGAATACCGAAAAACAAGGAACAAAAAACGCAAGTGAAAAAAAAAAGAGAGAGAGTGGAAGGGAAAGAGAAAAAGGAAATAGGAGAAATCCGACAGAGAAAGAGAGAGAGAGAGAAAAAAATATATTCGAGCTCGCGTTACAGACGCGTGTAATACGTTCCCGTGGGGCTGATACACTCGACGAAAGCAATTTTCGAGCAATGAACGCCCGATGCTTTTACAAAGGCAAATGATGTTTGAAAAAGTTAGACCCGGTCCGGCGGCGCGAAACTTCCGGCCAGAGGAGAGGGCGAAATGAGAACGCGATAAAGCCCGCCGGTGACTTTAGAGGGGAACGTTCGGGAATAAAAATTCATGAACTATGGATTTCAATATGGAGCCGCCTAGGTTTCCGATTGCTCCAGCTACGTCAACGAAAGTGAGAACCACGGG